TCTCTCTCTCTCTCTCTCTCTCTCTCTCTCTCTCTCTCTCTCTCTCACACACACACACACACACACACACACACACACACACACACACGGGAAAGCTTTCTTTAATGCAGTGTTGAGAAGCCTCTTTGGGAAGGAGTCTGCCATTCTACAACACCGAGGCTGACTGTTGACCGAGTAAGATGGCTGGCAGGGAATTTATTTTGGGTAAAATACAGACAAGTTCTAGGGCAGTAGAATAATAGTAATGTTTTGTTCCTAAGAGTCACCCCCCCCCACCCCATGCTACAGTCTCTTTTATCTCGAGTTCAGCAATGAAATTCACAAATGTGATGTTAGTTGTATTTTTGGGATTTGGGGAGGTGCCTCTTGTAAAAATTTTACACTTGTAAAAATGTGTTAACAGATTGCCTCTGGGGAAATGGAATAATTTTCATACAGAAGGAAGAGAACTTGGGAGAAACAATAATAGCCTGGAATAAGTTTGCAGCAAAGACTAGGGTGTATTTGTTTACGTTTTGTAGGGAGCATTTCCCAGGATTCTTAGAAATACTCGAGTGGACAGCTCCCTTGAAGTCATACAGAATGAGGGCTTAGATTATGTGAGCTGGATATTAAGGGATAAAGATCCCCTCATTTCTGGAGAAGCTGGGGGACACTTGAAGGTCATGCTGGTAGCCCAAATAACCTTAACTAAGGCATACAAGCCTAGGTTAGGACATTTGAAAGGGCTGAGAACAGGCTTTCAGTTTGCCAACAGTATATGTCTGAAGGTGAGGAGTGAGGGACCTCCCTTGATGCCGGCTCAATGTATGATATCAAACTTGTGGACAGGCTAGTTGATTGGTTTCTTACATATTTGGCATTATATTTCTATTTTTGATGGTACCTGTTGGGTCCTTCACCTTACCTCAAGGACTTGACACACACACACACACACACACACACACACACACACACACACACACACACACTAGTACTTTGGGTCTCAAATTGAAGCTATGTTTTGGGATACTGTGAATGCTTTAAGATTAGATTGTGAGGATTGTAGAACTCTGGAACTATATGCAAGAATACCAAAGAGTCCACTTCCCAAGTGGCAGTGGACTTAGGAATGTGATACTCAGGGATGTAATGATACACAGCTGAGGTGGCAGTTCGCTTATCTAGTAGAACACACCCAAGAACTATAACTCTCCAGATCATCTTTCATTGGTTTTTGTTGTCTTGGGATGGCCATAAATATGAGTGTAGAAGACAGGGGACTCGTGGGAGTCAGTGGGGACAAAAGCCAGTGGTACACTAAATTTTTAATTCAGTATACAGTATGAACCAACAGATGGGCCAGGATGACACACGGTTAGTCCCAGCACTGGGGATGCAGAGGCAGGCAGATCTCTGTGAATGTGAGGACAACCAAAGCTGCACAGAGAAACCCTGTCTCAAAACAACAAAACCAAATATAAACAGCAATTTCCATGAACAGGACAAATTCAACTTTTAATAGATTGGAAAATTGAATTGGATAAGTTATTTGCTTCTTTTTTTTTTTTCTATATAAAACCTTTTGGGGCCGGGCGGTGGTGGCGCACGCCTTTAATCCCAGCACTCGGGAGGCAGAGCCAGGTGGATCTCTGTGAGTTCGAGGCCAGCCTGGGCTACCAAGTGAGCTCCAGGAAAGGCGCAAAGCTGCACAGAGAAACCCTGTCTCAAAACAACAAAACCAAATATAAACAGCAATTTCCATGAACAGGACAAATTCAACTTTTAATAGATTGGAAAATTGAATTGGATAAGTTATTTGCTTCTTTTTTTTTTTTCTATATAAAACCTTTTGGGGCCGGGCGGTGGTGGCGCACGCCTTTAATCCCAGCACTCGGGAGGCAGAGCCAGGTGGATCTCTGTGAGTTCGAGGCCAGCCTGGGCTACCAAGTGAGCTCCAGGAAAGGCGCAAAGCTACACAGAGAAACCCTGTCTCGAAAAACCAAAAAAAAAAAAAAAAAAAAAAAAACCTTTTGGGGTCAGCAAGAGAGCTCAGTGGGTAGAGGTGCTTGCCTGAGTTCTGTCCCCAGAGTGCACTGATGAGTTGTCCTCTGTCCCCAAACCCCCATAAATAATAAATGATAAAAAATAAGATGAGTGAGATTGCTCAGCAGTTCCAGATTCTTGCACACAGCCTGACAACCTGAGTTTGACTCCTGGCTCCTACAAGTTGGTAGGAGAACACCATCCCCAGGAGTTTTCCTCTGACCTCCACACAGGCACTTGAACTAACTCTCCCTCCCTCTCTTTCTTTAAATAAATAAAATTTAAAATTCGTGATTAGTTTATGCATATGTGGGGCATACTAGCGGGGTTATGACTTCAGTTTTGCTATTCCCATGAGGCTCATCAGTGGCTGTGTAGTGAGATTCCACTTCTGGACTGTTGCCAATGCTTCTGCAAGGTTTCAAGATTGTCAGTATTCTTAGTAAAGGTTAAGGAATGTCAAGAGACTCCTACACAATGTGAGCATTTTGGTATCTTTTTTTTTTTTTGACATCTTTTTCCCCCTTTAAAAAGTAGAGGAGGAAAAAGATGTAAAAAAAAAAAAAAGAAAGAAAGAAAGAAAGAAAAGAAAAGAAAAGATACCAAAATGCTCACATTGTGTAGGAGTAGAGGGCCGGGTGGTAGTGGTGGCACACGCCTTTAATCCCAGCACTGGGGAGGCAGAGGCAGGCGGATCTCTGTGAGTTCGAGGCCAGCCTGGTCTCCAAAGTGAGTTCCAGGACAGGCACCAAAACTACACAGAGAAACCCTGTCTCGGGGGAAAAAAAAAAAAAAAAAAGTAGAGGAGGGATTTTCTGGTGGATTTGACTTAATGTGTCATCTTTATTAAATAGAATAAAAGTAGGGCTGGTGAGATGTCTCAGAGGGTACCAGTTATTGCTGCTCAGCCTCACAACCTAAATTCAATCCTGAGATCCGTATGTGGAGAGAACTGTTGGCAAGCTGTCCTCTAATGTCAGCACGCACTTTGTGGCATGTGTGTCCCCTAACATGTGTTTCCTGAAAATGAATTTAAAAAGTAATAAAATTTAAAAACAGAAAAGTAGTATCAAAAGTTAAATTGAGTATATCCACCCAAAGCACCTTTTGTTATTTATTATTATTGTTGTTGTTGTTTTCTCTGTGTAGCCCTGGCAGTCCTGGAACTCACTTTGTAGACCAGGCTGGTCTTGAACTCACAGAGATCCACCTGCCTCTGCCTTCCAAGTGCTGGGATTAAAGGCGTCTGCCACCACGTCTAGCTTTTTGTTTTTTCATTTTTAAATTTTCTATATATGAGTGCTTCGTCTGCATGTAAGTGCACCGTGGGCATGCAGTACCATCAGAGCCAGAAGAGGGCACCAGATCCCCTGGAACTGAAGTTACCTGCAGTTGTGAGCTGCTATATGGTGCTAGGGAATGAATCCAAGTCCTCAGAAACAGCAGCAAGTGGTCTTAACTGTTGAGGCATCTTTCTGTCTCCCAAAGTATCTTTTATCATCATTACCCTCCTCCTCCTCTTCCTCCTCCTCCTCCTTCTCCTCCTCCTCCTTATGATGATGATGATCATCATCATCATAGCTATACTGGCTAGTCATTGGCTATTTTTGTGTTTTAGGCACATGTAAAAAGCCAGGGTTGGTACCAAGTTGGAGATCACTGTGCACTGTTCCCTTAAGATCATCCTTTCTTTTATGAATCTCGGCTTTCTAAGTTCTTCAAATATATTTTCCATCTCTCTCTCTCTCTCTCTTTTTTTTGTTTGTTTTTTTTCGAGACAGGGTTTCTCTGTGTAGTTTTACGCCTTTCCTGGAACTCACTTGGTAGCCCAGCCTGGCCTCGAACTCACAGAGATCGGCCTGGCTCTGCCTCCTGAGTGCTGGGATTAAAGGCGTGCGCCACCACCGCCCGGCCAATCTCTCTCTCTCTTGAAATGATTTCTCTTTGAAGTATCAAGAGGAGGCTGTCATCCCCGCCCCCATGTTGCCCCGGCTGTTCTGGAACTCACTCTGTTGACTGTAGTTGTTTATTATTTTTTTTAAAAACTCTTTTGGCTCTTTGGGGCCTGCCACATAGCTCTGAAATAAATCACACGAAGTCTTCTTTCTTATAATGCTCAGCCTTAGCCCGGCTTATTTCTAGCCAGCTTTTCTTAAATTATCCTGTCTGTCTTTTGCCTCTGGATTTTTATCTTTATCCTATATACCTTTCTCTACTTCTTTTTTTTTTGTTTTTTTTTTT